AACATAATATGAAGAGGATTACTCTACATCCAATTAATTCCTTGTTATACATTCTCCACTACCACCTGCATTACCTTTACAATTCACACTTTCTTTTAGCAAAAGTTGAAATAAGTGCTGCTTGACCCAAAAAACAAAATAAAAAAAATTAGTTGAAGACGACACATTTTAAGTGCAAAAGATGAATACAATCGTTTAGATTGATTTGATTTTTTCGGTTTGAACGGTTCATATGTTCTTTTTCTTTTGAACTCTACCTACTTGTGATCGGCAAAAATAAGAATGAATTGTGTGAAATGAAAGAGTTGTCTAAATGGGGTTAGGGTTTGCCAAAAATGAAAGTTGATAACTGTTAATGCAGAATCCTTTTCAACGCCTAAAATGGTATAGCTTGAGAAAGGGTCAGTAAAGATCCAAAGACAATCCAAAAAAGGAAAGAAAGACCTAGGCCCAAAAAAGGAAAGGAAGACTGAGGCTCAAAAGGACTAGAAGGGGCAACGCCGAGCGCTACAAATAATCGTTCAACAATCTGGTTTGCCTGCAAGCAAAGAAGCCAAGCGTCTCATCATAAAGTAATTTTCGGCTGCATGCGACGAGTGGGCATAGCGACAACTTTATAGCACGAAGTCTCATGGGCAGGCCTACTCGGACACCAACCATAAACCACATGTTGGTCATTAACAAGAGCAAAATCCCATAAAGGGATATAGAGGTTGTCAGATCAAGCGCTCGAGTGTGGATTTCCTCAAAACCCAAGGCCGAGCAAGACACTCGGTATGCTTTGGCCCTGGAGAACATGCATTTAGGCCTAAACAATGGCGGTGGAGTACTCAAGCTCAGAAACGTTTAGGGCTTACTAAGGGCCTATATAAGAGGGATGAGTACCTCTTATAGTAGGTCAGACATAAGAGAGAAAAAAGATATTAGACCATATCGAGCACATCTTGTAACCTTTATGCGATATATACGAGCACCTTAGTGGATATACCCAGTTTTTAAGAATGAACCACTTAATCCTTGTTGTCAAGATTCTTATTGTTTTCACACCGAGTCCACCATAAATCGACTACACTGATTTTTGTTAACCTCTCAACTTTGAACGTTAATAATGACCATATGGAGTGGGCATATAATAACATAGTTTTTGCAATACTGCTTGTATGTGTTAGTTACTTTTTTTTTTTTTTTTTGAACAAATTATATTATTTACACTAAGGGGAGGGGGTGAGTTTAACCTTATAATGAGCTAGCAATAATACGGTTTAAATTTGCTTTTGGCGAGAATCGAACTTAAGACCTCCTACTTACAAATGAAGAGAAATATTACTAGATCATAATACTAAGTAGCAAGGCGGCCTTCTATTTGAATGATAATAAAATAAAACTTTTTAAGAAAATATTTTACTTGACGGCTTTATTAAGTGAACAGTTGGAATAACATTGGGAGAAAAAATTAGCCAAAAATGTCATTATCACACCATTAAACCAAGAGCATCTCCAATAACATAAGCAATTAAAGTAGATAAAATTGTACCATAAAAGTTGAGATACATACCTCTAAAAAATGAGACTATGTATGAATTGTCGCCATCTCTAAATTAGCCCATGAAAGGTTTGTCACTACAAAAATTAATGTTGCTTATTCAATTGCTTTATGAACAAAGTTTGTCACTCCAATAAATTAGAGTTGGCGAACTAAACATGCAACTACTGTTTTTTTTTTTTTTTTTTCAGTCATCTTCATCTATATAAAGTATTTTATTATAAAAAAAGATGTGAGACCCGATTTACTTACTCATGTTATTGTAGAAAATATTACTTATTTTGATAAGGAAAATGTTATTGGCACTCTAAAAATCTCATTTTACACTCCTCACAAGTGTATTTTTTTTTCAAATATAGAAAGTTTAAAATGTAGAATGAAATTTTTGGAGTGCCAATAGTAATTCCCTTTTGAGAAAGTAGAAAAATTACCTACTCAATCAAACACTTCATTAAAACATGGAGTTTCACTACTCATTTGCTTAAAGAGGTGAAATAATACCGTTTTGTTGGCGATACAGTACTACTCTCTCTTCTCCATGCGTTGCATGTCTCTCTCTCTCTCTCTCTCTAGATTGTGAGAGAGGAGATGGAAAAAAATCTCTCTATCTATGCTTTGTAAGTTTGTATAGTAGGGAATTGTTATTAGCATTTCAAAAATCTCATTCTACATTCCAAACTTTCTATATTAGAAAAGAAAAATACACTTGTGAGGAGTGTATAATGAGATTTTTAAAGTGCAAATAACAATTTCCTGTATAACATTATAAAATAATAATAAAGTAACTAAATTTGTAAATTAAATAATGTATTATTAATAAATAATAAGCACATTAATTAATATTTAATTTATAATTTAATTATTTACAATATATTATTAATTTGTAAATTTAATTTAAAAAATTTAGTCTTTTAATAAAAAAGGAAGGGATGGAAGGAAGAAATGAAGCATAAGGCGGTAGTCAACCATGGGAACAAACACGGGGCTCGAGAATGACAGTGACAGACCCACTGCGGGCAGCGTGCACTGCAGGTACAATAATTATTGGGACTCGCACACATCCATCCATCCATTCATCCATCACTATCCCACCACACAAACCCAAACCACAAAAATAACAGCATTTCAAAAATTCAAGTGTACGATCGAGTATATTTTTTCATACAATACTTTTCAAACTTACAATACTTAATTAGAATCAATTATATGGACTTACTTTTCCCCTTTAATCTATACATGGACTTATTCGACCCAAAATAAAAAATCTATATACGGACTTATTTTTTCATTTTGGGATGTTAGTAAACACCGGATATATATGTTGAGAATAAATGTGAAACACATATCCTGTTTTTCTATTTTAAATAAGTAAATAGAAGTTTTATTTGAACCCATATAATCTATCTTTACATCTAACTTAAATTTTAAATGTGATTTTTTTTTTATCCTATTGCATAATTAACCATAAGTACAAAATTAAATTAACAATAAAATGAAAATTTATCAACAAACCCATACCCAATCATCAAACCTATTATCACCAATTCTTCATCCTCTATTCATTCTAGCTAAAACTCAAAGACGTTCTCATAGAGAAAGACAAGCTTTTTTTTAAAGATGGATAATGATTTTGAAGTTTTGAATCCTTAAACTAAGGTATGAATCGATTTATGCAATTTTTTTTTTCATTTAATTTCACAATCAACCTTTTTTCAATGCATAATTACTCGCAAAAACATATATGGGATTTAAAAATTTTAAGTTTAGCTACTTGTGTGAATGTCACGCTTTCTTTTCGTTTCATTCCTGAAGCGTGGAGGCTATACATTGTTTGTAATTATGATGGCAGTGCATAGCAGCAATATAACGACTATCCTTGAATTTGAAGGTGTTGAGTTCCTTCTATCTGGTTAAACAAATGTATGTTAGTATGTAGTCTCCAAAAGTTTCTTCGTCTTCCTTTTGTTTGAATCAATCATAATTTAATTCGGTTGTTGGATGTCGAAAATGTTTCAATTTCATGAAAATCTAGGAATGTGAGGTTCAAGTAGGTTTGTAGCATAGAAAAACATGCCTTTAATTTCAGAGGTGAATTTTTTTATCTTGATTATGATAATTAAAACATAATCTTGTTTTAGTTATGAGATTATTAGGTACCCTTATCATCATGTGATGGGAAGATGGCGTGCCTCTACTTCTCTGCAAATTCGTGTAGGCCTTGCAAGGCTCTTACTTCTCAGATGGTGAGACTTTATGAAATGCTTTGAGTGGAAGGGCAAAGAGTTTGAGATAATTTTTGTCTCCTTCAACTGTTATGAGGAAAAATTCAATGAACACTTCAAGTGCATGCCGTGGCTAACAGTGCCGTTCAATGCTAATCTTCATAAAAGATTGAGTGACATGTACTGCAAAGAATGATCTTCGATACATTGATTTTGAGTTCTTATTTTCTAAATGGGTGTAAAGATAAACTTATAGATTGAATTGGGTTTGTGAGGATAGTTTAGATAGTAAATCAGGTTTAAAGAGAAATTAAGAATTCAATTAAAAGTAATATACGTGTGGATCGTAAGTTGAGTGTAGAAAGAGGTTATATGGGTTCACCATAAGTAAATCATGTCCACTGTGACTTGATAAGAATTGAATTGAAATTGACTACAATGTATTTAGTTTAAGAGCATCTTCAAATGAAATGTCAAAATACTAGGTGGAATGGCATTGTGCATATTTGACATCAAAAGTCTATCCAACCGAAACGTTATTTACTAACTGGATATGAAGGTTTTATGATTTGAAATCAAATTTGACATCAATATCAAATTTATTTTTAATTCATTTTAATGGTGGATCCCTTAGTCCACTAACATTTCAACCAATAAAAATTTTGTTTCAATATTTTTTTTTAATAATTACAACCATTTAAAACTCTATTTAAATAAAAAAAATAACATTTGACAATTCGGTTGCAGAAGTACAAAATTTGATCAAAGACTTTAAATTACCACATTAGTCATCAATTATAATTTGACATCTCCTTTAGAGATAGTCTGAATAGCCTAACTTTAGTGAGTAACTTTATAGTATCACCGCCACATTACCGTATTGTGTTGCTAATCATATCATTATAACCCACTTATTGATTTATTAATATTGTACCCTCGATCCACATCATCACAATCCATTCATACTATGACATTGAATTAGTAACATTATTTAATAGTATGATGGTCACACTAAAAAGATTTCTTATACAGTGCACTTGTGAGTGGCAATAATAATAATAAATGCATCAACATAAATAGTTTACTCGAAAACATTTATTTTTTAAGGAATCCACTCACAGGTATGTTTAGTGTAACTCCTTATTAGGCTCCTTGCCAGATTCCCTTTTTGCCTTGCTCAAACCTATGAATCTAACGTTTAGTTTAATTAAGCATTTCTAGACATCTTATAGACATTCATCCAAAACTGCCATTTAGATATTGAATTTGCACAAATGGAGAACGCTATGTGATTTAGAACATCAAAAAAACTAGGATTAGACCACAAGTCCTACACGTGCTGCCCCCACACCGCCACTCGTTGTGCTCCAGCCACGCGCCCCTGCAGTGGTGTGACGCACCGCCACGGTTCGGCGATTAGACACCACATTCATCATCGCAGGAGCCACGCGCCAATCATCTGAAATTTTGACTCAGGGAGACGGAAAATACCTTTTCCGTTGGGAGATACCGCTATTTCTAACGGGTCTGCCGTTGCTGGCGTCAAAGTGAACGGTATTCGCTACTCACCTTCGTTCCAAGCTCGAATTTGACGGATTTATACTCATTCAACCAAAATCACAAAAATAAGTCTAAGAATTTACCTACGATTAGATTGGCCCAAAAGATGTTGAAACCTCATCGGATTCAACAGGAACTCCTCGAACCTCCTCGCCGGTTTCTGGAAATGCTAAAAACACGACATGTAGGGGGTTAAAACCTTGAATCCAAACCCAAATTTCACCCCACAACACGAGTATTGGCTTAAGGAACTTACCCAGGTCAAACGTAGAAGAATTTGAGGACGGATTGCACCTTGAACTCGTTGGAGTCCGTCCGTTTCCTCTTGCCGGAAACTGAAAATATGCATAATGAGCAAATAGGGTTAAAAACCCTCTATTTGAGTTCAAAATTCACCACACAATATCTCAAGACACTATGAGTTCCAATTGGAACTCGGAGCTCTCAAGCTCAATCATTTCCTAGCCCCTGATCGTACATGCAAGACCACCCTCGTGATCCTCAGGTCACGAGGAGTCTAAATATGGTGGTGTGGGGCTAAATATTGAACGACAAATGGTTGAGAGTTGCAAGGATCCAAGTGAAGAGAATATCAATGGTCAAATTAAATAACACTTGTCAATAGATTAATGAATGAGTTGTAATAAGTTGTTACAAGTTAGTTGAGATACGGAGAAGAATTAGTTTTTAGCTAAATATCAGCTAAGTAAGTAAGAAAGATATAACTACCATTGTAATCATAGCTTATTCATCAAGAAATCAATATACAATTTCACTTTCTCTCTCTTTTATCTCTCTCTTTTTCGAGTTATCTCGCTCTCTATTCTTCTGCATTTTGTGAACCTTTCAAGAACGCATTCATCAATATTAACATGGTATCAGAGCCAGAGAATGAACTGGCGCTTGTGCACCTCCATTAAAAGCATTGCTTTCTTTCTCTAATCCTCTATTTTGCATACTGCTATGATTCTACAAATTAGGGTCTTCCTTATCTCTGAGTTCTTCACGATTCGGTTCTTCTTTGATTGCCTTCTACATGTTTGATCAAAAGTCTCAGTGAAAGTTTCTTCTCAAAAATTCAGCAATGGTAACTGCAGATCAATTGAGAATTGTTCAGTTTCCGATCACAAATCTCATTTCCACGGTTTCTACTTCGATTACAGTGAAGTTGGATAACTCTAACTATCTTACTTGGAGTTTCTAGATCAAGTTGCTCCTTGAAAGCCATGGCATCATGGGGTTCGTTGATAGATCAAGAAAATGTCCTCTAAGATTTGATGATGATTATGAAATTGGAGGAGTTCAAAAAGATGATTACTTGGTATGGAAAATACACAATTGTGTGCATATGCAACTGTTGATTGCAATATTGTCTACTACAACAATGTCATCCATAATTGGCAGTCAAAGCTATCATGAGATGTGGGTGAATCTCACTGAAAGGTTTTCTACGGTCATTAAAGCTACAATCTTTCTGATAAACATTGAGCTTCGAAACATAAAAAAAGGTATGAATCTGTGTCTGATAATCTCCAAACGATCAAGGATGTAAGGGATCATCTTGCAGCTACAGGAGTAATGTTTGATGATGATGATGTGATAATTCTTGCGCAGAAGAAGCTTCCTACAGAGTTTAACACTTTTAGATGTGTTATAAGAGGAAGGGAAAATGGTATATCTCTCAAGGATTTCAGATCCCAATTACTTGTAGATGAAGCTATCATTGGTCAGTCCTTTGAATCCTCTTCTACTTTACCATTTGGAACTACAATGGTTGCTGCCACTCAATCAAATAAGGAAAAACATTGGCTCTTAGTCAAGAATCATCACAGTCTACTGAAATAGGGTCTAGTTTTGGATCATCTAGTCAAAGCTTTAACAATCATGCTGGTGGATCAAATATTACAGGATACAACTCTGGGAATAGTTCTTTTAACAACTACAACAATTTATATCAAGGGTCCTACAACTATAGGGGATATAAGGAGAACAATTTATGAGGAAAAGGAAGAGGCAGATCCTATATTTATAGTCCAAGATCTTATAATCCTCCATCAAATGGAAGCCCTGGTATTCTTGGTGCCCCAAAACCCTATCAATCAAACCGTGCATAACATCATTTTGCAATCCCTATTTGTCAAATCCACAACAAAAAAGGTCATGTTGCTACTGATTGTTTTCAAAGGCATATTTTTTCACATTCTAATGCCAACATACCAATTTAATGTCAAATTTGCTGAAAATTTGGACATTCAGCTCTGCAATGCTATCACAGAGGCAATTTTGCATATTAAGGAAAACCATTGGCACCAACACTCACTGCTATGCATGCTCAGCATCAACCTTCTGCACCAGAGCAACAATTCTGGATTGCAGACACTAGAGCTACTTCTCACATGACCTTTGAGTTAGCTAATCATGACCTAGTTACTCTATACCAAGGGAATGATACTATAACCACAACAAGTGGTGCATGTTTGCATATTTCTCATATTGGCACATCAACATTATCTGTTTCTAATAACACACTTGCCTTGAAGAATGTTCTACATGTTCCAAAGATCTTAGAACACTTGTTATCCATCTATTAATTGTGTAAAGAATGTAGATGTCGATTCATTTATGATGATACTTTCTTATGGGTTCAGGATAAATCCACAGGGACAATCATAATCAAAGGGTTGTGTAGAGAGGGCTACTATCCTATTCCTTTCAACATACTATAAAAGCTGTCACCTGCATTGCCTCATAAGCACACATGTTGTCTAGCAAAACCTGTTAATCCATTTTGTGGCATAAAAGACTAGGACATACATCAAATGCCATTACTTCTGCCATTCCACATCAAAATAATATCTTTGCATCACCTCTGCACCAACAATGGCGACACCTACACGCACGCAGGACCACCAACTCAGCCACATTTTGCCCTTCATCTCTCTCTGATATCTCTTCATTTTCCTCCATGTCTGTGCACGCTGCACGAGAAAGCAAAAACCATATTGCTGTCTCTAGCGAACTCTAAACCCTCACATCACCAGACTACCATCCTTTGTGAGAACACTAAAAGTTAAGAGCACACTCGGGACCCTCTGTCTTCCTCCCTACACAACAATGGCTAGGCCGAGGCTAGCCACCACCATTTTCTCCAGCAAGTTAACGTGGAACCCGACGACAAGGTGAGTGTGACTTGATTATGATGTATCTTAGTTTCTAGTGAGATTTTCTAGTTATCTGGGTGGTTTTTGAGTTGAAAATCGAGGCTTTTAACCTTGTTCCTGTATGTTCTTCTCCCCAATTTCCAGTGAAAACCCGATGACTTTTGAGCCATTTTTCGGCCAACTCCGGCCACGGCTGATCAAGAGAAAGGTATAATCCTAATCTACACTTGTTTATCTTTATTTTGGTAGGTAGAATGTGGGAAATGATCGAGTTTTGAGTTCGATTTAGAGCTCTGGTTCACTGTCCAGATTCCGATCGAATCCTACGACCTGAAATCGAGTCTCGCAATCCAAAACTAGATCCAAACTCGATCCAAAATCTGGTCCAAATCCATAACCCATTAACCTCAAAACCCGGCCTAACCCAACTACCAGGCCTAACCCAGCAACCCAAAGCCCATATTAGACCCGAATCAGACCCAATACCCAGCTTTCACGATCGGCGCATGGGCCGCGCATGAGTACGCATGAAGGGCTATTATGGTTGATGCGTGAAGCACACGTTCCTCCGCTGAGTTACTGTGCTCCGATGTCGTCCACGACGGCGACCACGGCAGCACCAGCCGGAGGCTGGCCTCTAGGGCCGCCGCCCTATGGCGACGCGTGAGGAACCCGAAGTCCCTTTTTAGGTTTTTCGACGTGCTAAATCTGAATCCGCTGTCCGTTTTCCCAAATTCTATCATTTTAGTAAAGTTTTACTAAATGGTCCTTATTTGTGTTTAAGTGTGTCAGTAGGATGTGACACCGTCCTTTTTAGTTTGAGCGGCTCCCCGACAATGGAATATCTGTGATGGACCCCTTCTTAACTTGCATGTTTTTATAAAATAATAGGCTTCCATTCACGAAAAGCATGAGTTCATGATTTAACGTTTTATGCATTATTTATGATTTATCAAGTTTACGTTTTACGAAAGGTTATGAATTATTGGATTTTCGTATATGAAATTCTACAGATTTATGAATATGAATTATCATGGATTTATGAGATGAGGCTTTGAGCATTTGAGCTCCGAATTTGATATAATATTTTTGAGATATGTTTTCGGTGCTTATCTAGTGGGTTATCATACAACACATACACACAACTGAGTATGTAGATGTTTATGGCCATATGACACAGTTGATGAAATTTATGACATACTCCCAACTTCACTAGCCATGGGCTAGTGTCGGTGTGTTATGTATATGTGTTGTGTGTGTGTGTGTGTGTGTGTGTGTGTGTATTTCTTCTCTGGTGTAACCCAGAGTCGTATAACTTCACCTTCGGGTGATGGGCCCCTATATTTCTTCTATGGCGTAATCCAGAGTCGTACAACTTTACCTTCGGGTGATGGACCCATTGTGTGTGTACACATACACACACACACACAGGGGTGTGCTATCCACACACCCTTATGTGTGATATCACACCCCTATATATATATATATATATATATATATATATATGTTTCTTCTCTGGCATAACCCAGAGTCGCACAGCTTCACCTTCGAGGTGATGGACCCTTATTTTCTTCACTAACATATACAACTTCACCCTTGGGTGATGCTTATGCCATTGGGTTACTATGATACCCTTAGTTCAGTACCTCATTGATGTGATTTATGGATGTTTTACGGATTTATCTTCGGGCGACTATATTACCTTTACTGAGCATTGATTTACATGTAGATGTTTTATGAATGTTTTCATGGCATGCTAGAGTTTTTAGAAAACCTATTATGTAGTACTATATATGTATTTTCAAAACAGGAGCTTAGTATGTTTAGAAATAAAATGGTTTTCTTATTATTAGTATTATTATTATTATTATTATTATTATTATAAACTTTGGTCAACTAACCCCTTGTTTTACGCCCCTTTCAGGAGTTAGAATTGAGACATCCAATTTCGGCATCAAGACACATCCGCATAGGTATCTTCAAGTCTTTTCATAGTAGAACCCACTCATTTGTTCATATCATTTTATATTAATTCTTTCACATTATTCTTAATTAATTGTATGCTCTGAACACGTTCCTGCAATTGCATACTTCATTATATTGAAATTTACACATTTTGTTCATGTTCGTTCTTTCTTTATATGTTGCATGCATGTTCAAAATGGCTTCGTCACCCTCGAGTGTCAGCCAGCACGTGTCTATCCTGATATTTGGTGATATCGGCGTCAGGGCGTGTCATTGGTTCCATTACCATTGGACAAGAACCTAATTGGTTGTAAATGGGTATACAAGATTAAGAGAGATGCAAATGAATCTGTTGCAAGGTACAAAGCAAGATTGGTGACAAAAGGGTATAGTCAGGAAGAAGGAATTGATTATGGAGAGACCTTTAGCT